AGAGCTGTCTGGGTGGGATCTCTCCTCAGTGGTTCAGGTGGCCCTCCTCTCCACTTTCTAATTATAGAGCTTGAACAACAACATTCCCTACTTCCATGTCCATTGCCCACTTTTCTCCAATTTCTGCAAACCCTTACTGTGCCCTCTGGAACTTAAGACCCATCAACAGCAAATCTCTGTTCTCATCCATTTCTCCAAATATTTCCCTGACCTCCTTGCTTTTACAGAAATATGTTGTCCTCTGAGGATGCCACTTTCTCATATGGTGGCTGTTTTTGTTTTTTTCTTCCATGACCCTAGTACCAAAGTGTGATCTTGGTTCTTCATGGCCACATTCAGAAGCTCATGCCATCTGATTTTATCTTCCACTAGCATTTCTTTTTCCAGTCACCTCTGACCCTTGGGCTATGCTGCCTTATTTAAGAATTTTGCTTCAGTTATCATTCTCTAATACCATTACTATTTGAATTATTAGTGATTTCAATATCCTTATAGATATACATGATCCTTCCACTATCCTTACCTCTTAGTTCCTCCCCTCCAATAACCTTTACCTCCTACCTACTTACCTACTCTGCCTACCGCAGGCACTCACTCAATATCTTTGTCACTACCAATAAATTCAGTCCTTCTATAATCTCAGTGTCAAGCACACCATGGCACTATCTCCTCCTACCGTTGTAGCTCACTCCTTCTACTCTGCTGAGTCAGTTCTTCCTCCACCACCTGGTTTTCTCATCCATTGGTCTTGGCCTCTGTTCCTCACTTCGCTGCTCACCCAACTTAAATTCCATCATCAAATACTAGCCACTCCTTAGTCCCACTCTCACTTCATAGTTCTTAACAAAATTAACCTGGACATAACTCTCCACCTATTCTGAATGTGGCTGGAGAAAAACACAGTCACACCAGTCTCACTTTAAATCCATGGACACAAATCTCAAGTGAGCCTTTAAAACTGCTGGCAATCATGTGATGCTGTCCTGGGCACTCCACTCCTCCCACTGTCTCAGAGCGGCCTGCAAATTAGAGCCACACTCACGGGTTAACATGTCATCCCCAGCTGCTTTCACAGTACACAATGGGAGAGGTGAGTACCGGCAACACAAACCTGATGGCCGGCAAAAATGAAAATATCTGGCCTTTCATAGGAAAAGTTTGCTGGCCCTGGCCCTAGACAACTATTTCATACTTCTCTTTCCATTCCTTCCTTCTCTATCCTCTTTCACTTGACCTTTCCTTCCTATTTTACTGAGAAATTTGAAGCCATCAAAAAATTACTTCCATAAGCTCCCACCTCACCTACCAGCATTTCACCCATAAACCCTGATATCCCTCCTGTTATTATCAACTGTCCCTGCTCCTACGACCAAGCCCTCTGTTTATACACTAAATCCTATGCCCTCTGGTCTAGTCAAGGACAGACCACCTCTCACTCTGTCATCCTCTTGCTCTTTACGGGATCATGCCCATTAATTTTCAAACATACTTTGTTTCTTTTACCTTTAAGGAAAAGGGGGGGGAAATCCTCAGGACAGTTCCTTTTTCCAGTTATATCCCAATTCTTCTGTTCCTTTGCAGGCAATTTCCTCAAAACACCCTGTGTACATTCTCTCATGCCTTTTCCCTCCCATTTCTCTCAAATCCA